CGGTAAGGGGAAGCATGAGGGAAAGCGGCTGACTGGAAGTCACGCACAAAAAAAACGGAAGTTGATCACTATTTACTTCCGTGTTTGAAAATAAGGTGGATACATGCACACAAAATTCTTTCATTCGGAATGACAAACGGAATAAACCACCCCCTTTAATCGGATTTAATTTTCAATCGGAATGATTGACTGATCCATTTACATGACCACTTTTAATCGGAATGGCCTTTCATTCCGATTAAAAGTGGAATTAAAATGTCCATGGAAACGTACTGACTGAGTTCTTCAGTGCTGGTCTTTATCACAGATTCAGATCATTAATTCCCTTCTGGCAGGAGGTTCATACAGTTTTGCAAACAGTATAGATTTAAACTAGAGACCCTATATTTGGGCACCCTGCCTTTGGACAATGTTACCTCTCATGAGAGACATTTATTTTGGATCCAAAATAAATGTCTCTCATGAGAGGTAACATTGTCCAAAGGCAGGGTGCCCAAATATAGGGTCTCTAGTTTAAATCTATACTGTTTGCAAAACTGTATGAACCTCCTGCCAGAAGGGAATTAATGATCTGAATCTGTGATAAAGACCAGCACTGAAGAACTCAGTCAGTACGTTTCCATGGACATTTTAATTCCACTTTTAATCGGAATGAAAGGCCATTCCGATTAAAAGTGGTCATGTAAATGGATCAGTCAATCATTCCGATTGAAAATTAAATCCGATTAAAGGGGGTGGTTTATTCCGTTTGTCATTCCGAATGAAAGAATTTTGTGTGCATGTATCCACCTTATTTTCAAACACGGAAGTAAATAGTGATCAACTTCCGTTTTTTTTGTGCGTGACTTCCAGTCAGCCGCTTTCCCTCATGCTTCCCCTTACCGGAGCTAACGGTGCAAGCTAATTTTTTTTTCAATTTTCAGTTGTTTATGTTAGTCAATGAGTTAGTTAGTTAGTTAGTTAGTTAGTTAGTTAGTTAGTTAGTTAGTCAGTCTGTGTATTTTGTATAACGTTAGATAACTGTGCCCATGTTTCCGTTATAACAGAAATTTATTCCCTCTAAACGCGAATAAATCGCACGTCAATCATAAACTATGAACCAAAAAAACACAATCCATCCCGAGTGAGACAAACTGCTTGATCCCCGTCTCCAGTGTACCAGCAGAGAACCTGCAGAACCGAATCAGCGAAAAAACACACCGGGCTACACAGCCTCTCTACCTGAGCAGCTGAAGCTGCGGCTCACACCCTCGACACACACACACACAGACGGTGCTTCTGCATGCCAGCCACACGTGTGCGCAACTGTGAGAAATAAATATGTGAGGTGTACGCTGCTTTTCTATCTTTTTTTCTACCTTTTCTTTCTTTCTTTCTTTCTTTCTTTCTGTCAGAGACATACACTCCTAACACAGGACGGGTTGTTTTAATTGACTGAGTTGATCATTAAGCCATAGTGATGCGCGGATCGGCTCTGATAGCACCTGAATCAGCATGTACGCATCAACCATCCAGCCGTTACAACATGATTGAGCTAGCAAAGCAGTTTTGTGTTGCTATGTGTGGTATTTATTCAGTTTTGGGAAATCACGATGTCTAGAAAGCATCAGTGGCTGCAGCTGACAGGGACAGCTAACGTTAACACTAGCAGCAAAGCTAACATCAGGATC